GTTTTACTTTTATTTATTTTCATACAGTACTGATCTGTCAGTACCGCTTCCATTTTATTTAATGCTATCTCTAAATGCTCCTTGCTAGATGCTAATACTGCTATATCATCTACAAATCTAAGAATGCTAATCTTTTGCCCTTGCATATCCATCCCTACAGTTGTGCTGTCTTTAATGATGTTAATCGCGTCTTCGATGTATAGATTAAAAAGTATCGGTGACAGTGTGCATCCCCGTCTGACTCTCTTCCTAATATTTACTTCTCTACGTTGCAGCCCCAGCTCTATAACTGCCTGTTGCTCTTTATACAAACTAAGTATCACTCTTCTATCTTTGTAACACATCCCTATATTTTTAAGTATATTTAACATCTTGTCCCATTTAACATTGTCAAAAACTTCTCTAAATCTACAAATCCTATGTACGCACTCTTTCGTTTTTCTATCGTTTTCTCTATTGTTACCCGTAAAGCTAGAATGGCTTCCCGCGTTCCTCTATTTCATCTGAACCCAAATTGATCTTCCCCTAATAGTTCTTCCGCCCTTTTTTTCCATCCTCCTCTGTACAATTCTAGTTAAGATTTTTGACGCAAATTTTCTTATATGCAGAAATTTTCATACATCCGATCTTGTTGTATGAAAGCTTCTAAATTCTTGTTTTATGATTTCCCTTTCATGCAATGGTATTCTGTTATTTCGATGTATCACTCGTATTTGGTCAGATAAATTATGTTATTATCCTGGTCTTCACAATTTTCACTGGTAACTTTGAGCAAGTGAAGACGGGCTAATGCCAAAGAACCTCACTCACATCTTTTGCGATATGACATGGAAACCAATTTTCTGTTCTAAAATTTTATAGAGCTAACAGTAGATCTTGCCCTGAAATATAATCGGTGATTATTATGGAAAGGAGGATATGCCAGTATTATTAAGAAATCTGCGTACTATTCCGCATGTTTTAAGGATTACTGATTTCTGTAGACTTATGAAGGTAAGCTTATGCAGTTTCAACTCGGCTAGGCTAACGTGCAATGTTTTAGGTATAACGCTTATTGATGATATTATTATTGGAATAATTCGAACTATGTTCTGATTCCACATTTCTTTTATTTCATCAGTCAAAGGAATATATTTTCGAATTTTCTCGTTATGTTTTTGTTTAAGATTTTCAGTGTTTAGTACAGCAAAATCTATTAAGTGAGTTGTTTTAGTTTCTTTGATGGTCAGTGTGATATCAGGTCTGTTATGATTAACTGTTTTGTCTGTAGTTATGTCTCTATCCCAATAAAGCATTTCTAGAAGGTTTTTTAATACATTTTGTGGTTTGTATTAATAGTACGGCTGTATCTGATCTATGAGTTTAAACTTTTTGGCTAATAGCGAGTGAATCTGTTAAGCAATATTATTATGCCTGTCGGTGTATTGTTGGCTGGCTAAAAATGAGCAACCCCCAGTGATGTGGTCAATTGTTTCGCGAGATGTCTTGCATGCTCTGCATGTGTCTGATGATTTGTAGGATTTTTAATAATATATTTTTCATAGTTTCTTGTTTTTATTATTTTGTCCTGAATCGCTAGCATGAACCCCTCAGTTTCTGAGAATATGTTTCCNTCAAAACCTGATTGCAAAATTCATTATAAAAAAATACAAGATGAACTGAAATAATCTTTGTAATATATAAAGTAATAAAAACCGAAATATACGTGCTAGTCATTTAATTGACAATCCGAGAATCTATCTCCTAGCTCACAGTTTACATATTTTCTTTCAATCATATGGTGTAATAAAATAGTCAAATTTATGTCGGTATATAAAAATTCTTCCAGACCTCTGGGGTAGGATGAAGCTTGCAGATCAGTCGACTTGTCTTGCAAACGGCTGCTGCTGGTAGGATGGATGGGGTTTTCTTTCTTCAGTTAAGTGTTGAAACACAATTGTCACACCGGATATCACTTGGAAACCACTTGGAACTCTCACTGTTCTTGCGACGACTGAAGAATCCCACTTCTGACACCAATTTTATGTTGGATTCCTGACCTCCAAACAATAATTGAGTGTCCTTGTCTAACTTCTGACACCAGGGCAGTTTTAAATGAGACTCCGGACTCTTGTTAGAAAGTGTAAATTAATTATTCCTGGTGATCGATGGATTACCTATTCACACTTTCAATTATTGTGTCGCGTGAAAATGAACTTTTAATGTTCAGGCACTAATAGACACTTTTCCAAATGGATTACACCTTCACACAATAATTGTCGAAGAATGCTCCGTTCACCGACTAATGACTATTGTCACCTCGATATGAACCTAATGATAATTATGTTTTCGCCAACTAATGAATAATTAGAGAACACTAATTAAGTCGCCTTGTAATACGATAAACATTTATTGAGTACTAACTTACAATTCTTAATGTTAACGTAGGTTAAGAACTAAAAGTAGAAACTGAAATTATTCGGAAAGAGCATCCCCTTTTATACAAAAAATCTTATCTAACATAGTAGGGGTAGCAATTACTGCCTGTAAATGATTTATTATATAATCTACCCTTAATTTAGAGTATACAACAATATATATCGTATAACATATTTATTTAACTGTAACCTGTATCAATAACAACAAAAAAATACATCTGTATACTACTAAACAAAGGAAAAATGTTCCTTTTAAAAATAGAAACAAAGTATACATTCCTGTAGAATAAATAATATTAATAAGCACAAACAGCACTTTTACAGTACTTAAACATGATTAAACACATTTTAATTGACGGCATCATCACTAGACTCGCTAGTGGTGTCACTTTCTGTATGTACTTTATACATTTTCATTCTATCTACCGAACAAATCCCATGATAAGGTTTTTGTGAGCGTTTTGTTCCAGGTATATCTTCAATTACATATCTATCATTGGATAACACAACTTTGATTACAAAGGGACTTGAATATTTCGGCATTAACTTTTTATTTTTTCCGTCGTTACTTGTTACATTCATTTTAATCATTACTGTGTATTCAACTTTGTACTCAAAGGGTTTCAACCCTTTCTTATCAAAATATTGTTTTTGTTTTACTTGAGCAGCCTCGATTTTGTCTTTACTGTATTGCCGTACTTCGGCTACGTCAACATGCGCTTGTTCTAAATCTATAGCATTTCGAATAATGGGATCGTGTCTTCCTCTAGGTTGAAAACCAAATAGTTCCCCGATTGGAGTTTTGCCTGTCTGATTTATTGATCAGTTAAGACCCACCTTACTCTATTAATTAATTCATCCCAACGTGTCTCATCATCTACCATTGTTGATAAAGCTGTTAAAATGGTTTTGTTATACTTTTCAATTTGTCCATTTGCTCTTGGGGTAGCGGTTGCATAGTGAATGAATATAATATTTTGAACAAAATTCAATAAAAGCTTTGCTAGTAAAACAGGAACCCCTATCACAAATTTTGTGAAACTATCTATAGCTGTTATTATATAATTATTTTTACGTTTACTAAGAATAAATGGCCCAATGTGATCGATATGAAGAGTGGCCATTGGCTCACCAATNCCCCCAGTGATGTGGTCAATTGTTTCGCGAGATGTGTTGCATGCTCGGCATGTGTCTGATGAAATTGTGGGATTTTTAATAATATATTTTTCATAGTTTCTTGTTTTTATTATTTTGTCCTGAATCGCTATCATGAACCCCTCAGTTTCTGAGAATATGTTTCCTTTTTTTTAACCACATATTAGAAGCTTTTTTATCTATATATTCCTACAGTTTTTTGTTCGGGTATTTTCCATGAAGCACTTTTGATATCCACATTTCAATTTTGAATTTTTCTTTCATAATTTTATCTTTAAGATTAAAATCTGCATCATTGATGATGCACTAGAGGTTGAAGATTGAATTATGTAATGGACTATCAGCACTTCTTGCTTCTTACTATCATCATCATTATTATTATCAGGCGAGGAATCGCATGAAATTGCATCGTCGAGTTCCAAAGATCCCAAAGTAAACATAGTATTGAAATACACTGGCTATTACCCAAACTAATATTCAAAAACCATACACGTATTATCAAAATTATAAGCCCAACCAGCATTATGATTATATTCATGTAGGTATAATTCATGGAAGTTGTACCTAGTAAACTCTCTTGTATACATATACGTTATGTATGTGCATGTAGGTCGTTAAGGGATGAGAATATAGGTCACGACTCAAGTTAAAATAAGAGGTTTGATTCTTTTCCGACTCGATTTACCGTCGTTTCTCTCATCCTTCACTCTAGTCTAGAGTTTAACGACCAGGTCAAAGTTCTCCATCTGGTTCAACGATAAAGCTGTCCACGCTTGGATAAATATATTCTTAGGTATACAGTAGCCCGCAAGTATCGATGGATGCTGCAAGATCTGATGATCTTAGATGAACTCATATGAAAGGGATTTGTATAGAGATTTAGATCTCATTGGATACTGTTCCATCAAGTTTAGGGAATTTTGATGGCGCAATGGTGATATAGATTAATTAGGTCTTCAATTATTTAGGTGTGCAGCTGTTATCAACATATCATTTTTGAATACAAACAAACAAGAGAAACAAGACAAGATAAGCACTAGGATCATCGCGGTGAGGATTGTTATTTAAAATTTTTATAAAAAATAAGGGGCAAAGGTACAGAAAGTTTGGAAATCACAAAATTAATTACTAGAAATTGCGTGTGTCGATATTCAGTTTTGGATACAAAGATTTTGCGGGTCTTCGTTCGAATCCGATGCCGAATTTTTCGTTCAGAAAAACGTACAGCTAATGAAGTATACCACGCGGAAGTAAAACTTATTCATGAGTTAATAATTCGCTTTGGAAATCGAAATTTAAGGGTTGTTGAAAATGAATAAACAAATTCAGGGCCTATTGTAATCGTTAGCTAAACAGCGATAATGGGCGCATAATTAAATAAATATCTTAATAATCTACACCGTACAGGGTTGGACCTCGAGAAAATATTTAGGAAAACTTACCCATGTCGTCGATGATGGGTGCCATCCTTAATGTGACCCCAACAAGCAGTAGGCACATGAAAAGGAGTAAACAAGCGGTCACGACGATGGTCCATCGAGCCCGCGGCGGGAGTTCCTCGTCCGATTCCAGGTCTTTCAAGTCATCGTTAATAGGGACGGCGATCTTTCGAAGACGGTCCTGTCTCTGACGCATCCTGTGCCTTTTTTTACGCCTTTTCCGCTTCTTCTTTAACCGTTGACGATCGATTGTCGCTTTCGTTTCTTCATCTTCACAGTCTTCTATTTTTAAGGAGATATACTCTTCGGTATAATTAGGCTTTCTGAAACAGCAATGGGTAAATTTTTAATTAAACGCAAGTGTCATAGTATAAAGTAAGTTAAAATGTAAAAACACGTTTCTTATTTCTTTTGCCTTTAAAACCGATATTTATGAAATTTAAATTAGATTTAGATTATATTAGACATAACTATTTTCCTGCATTTGTTTTAAGGTCTTGTAAACGTGAATTGCACCACTACATATACTCTATATTAGGGAATTAAGATGGTATTGACAAAACAGTATTGCAGGAAAATAAATAAAAATAAAACAAAAATACTGATATGCAAGGGAAAAAACGTAGGAAAAGAGCGAATATAAAGATAGGAGACGAAAGATTAGAAGAAGTGGCTCATTTTAGGTTTTAGGAAGTCAGATAACTCAGGACGGAAGGAGCAGTAGGGATATAAAGCAAAGGGTAGCACAGGGTTCAGTCGCCTTCAATAAAAAGAAGTTAAAGACAAATATTAGAGCCTGAAACAGGACTTAAGAGGAGTAGAAGTAAAGATTAGATTACTGTTCGCAAATAGTTAAGGTTGTTCTAGTTTTGGGGAAATGCGAAGATTAGCTCAGGATAGGAAAGAGAGGAGGTGTGTGCCCAACCACATACCGAATATCAGCCACTTCTTCTACTTTTTTGTCTCCCATCTTTTAGAACAATTAGTTTAACTTCCCATGCGTCAAAAATCATAACTGGAATTGTATAGAGGAGGATGGGAAAAAGGTCGCAAGAACTATTAGGGGAACATCAATTTGGGTTTAGGAGAAATAGAGGAACGCGAGAGGCCATACGGGTGCGAAACAAGGAAAGTGGGCGCGGCGGAAAAGAGAAGGTTAGAAGCATTCAAAATGTAGTGTTACAGGCGAATGATGAGGAAACCGTGGATAGAGAAGATTAGAAATGAAGAAATAGGTTGGTAGGACACCTTCTCAGACATGAAGGTCTAGTCAGAGACATACTAGAGGCAGAAACAGGAGTTAGAAGGGGTAGGGGTAGAGGTAGAGGTAGAGGTAGAGGTAGAGTAGATTGCTATCGCAAATAGTTAAGGATATGGGTTGTTCTTATTTTAGCTCAGCATAGGGGAGAGTGGGGGTGCGTGCCCAATCAGTCTTAGGACTGACGGCCTTATGATGATGATGAGTGTGTAACGACTTTTTGAACGGGATTTGATGGGATTTTGAGAGGTTTCTAATGAAACGTACATGGGCTGATGGTCATAATGTACAAGAATATTTTAAAAATAGGCTCCATGTGTGAGTAATGTTACATGGTTATTCCGAATAGTATCTGTTATCTTGAGCCAAATGTCAATTTCATACCATTGGTCAAAGAAAGTATCTAAGGGAGAGGGAGAGCTATTTTGCCATCTTATTCTATTAAAAGTACTTTCCTAAAACCCTTTATTTTCCATAATGAAAATTAACAAAATAAGTAACAAAGTGAGAAACACTCAGGTACTAAAGAGAACTAGTAGAACCTTTTAAACTATTAATTAAATGCAATTGATGTTGCGAACAGTAATAATGTTCGAAAAATTTAATGAATTTATAAGTGAAAGATGTGAAAATTACCTTAGGAAATTCACGATGAAATCTTTCTCCATTTAGAATAATTTCTTATAAATCAAGCTTAATCTGATTAACCGTCTTAAGAACGATTGTAATCAAATGATTTTGATTTAGCAAACTACACGAACAAATTATTTGATAATTTTCTCTCAGACCATAAAGATGTTTATGAAGAAGCAAGAAAAATAAAGTAATTTACTTGATGATAACGAGTTAGGTACTTAATTAATTTTTTATGACATAAATTGCAGTGGATATGTTAAAATTTAATTAAAAAATTTCCCTGATTACCTAAAACTTATTAATATGAGATATTTAAAAAAACGAAATATTTTGTTAAATGGACTACAGAATCAGGAGTGGTAAAACATTAAAATTAGTACGAAGCATGCAGGAAGATATCACCCTTTCACTCTTTCAGCCTCTTTTATTAGACGGTACTAGATTTTCCCCGCGGCTTTGCTCGTAAATACGTGTCAAATATCAACGACGACCACATAAAACTAATTTTTCTATCGCTTGGGAACAGCATTTCTTTATTCTGCATAATAGGTACCCTATGTCATTTTCTGTGCCCCTGACAATGTGTCTACAAAATTTTATGATGATCGATTCAGTAGTTAAGGCGTGAAATGTTTACAAACAAACAAACATTCGCATTTATAATGACAGTCAAGATTGATAAGAGGAATTGCCGACTAACGAGTGATATAGATATTACGGTACAAGTCTAGATGATGGCGGGGGTGGGGGGATCGAAAGAGGAGGTCTCCCGCACCACTCTAGTATAAAAAGTTCGTTGCGGTCTCACCCCACATAAAAAGTTATGGGGGTTAAAAGTTAATAAATATGCCATTTTTTATACATTTCTAGGCATGTAAATATTTCTATAGTCATTCTTAAACAATATTCAAAGATAAAACTAATGGAAAAATACATAAAAATATTGAGAAAGTTATATAAAACATTATTTAA